GGCAGCCTCCGTCTTACTCCCGGGCAGCCTCCGTCTAACTCCCGGGCAGCCTCCGTCTTACTCCCCGGGCAGCTTCCGCTGTCTGACAGGCAGATCTAGCATGTTTGAGGACGGCACGTCATCCAGATCGGTCTTCGGCAACAGCTTCTATGTTTCTGTCTGGATGCCAGATGATTTGAGAGCCGTTTTAAGAGTGTTCCTACAGCGTTATTTCTGTCTAGAGCTTTTAGAGTCAGTAGTATACTCAAGCTCCTCCCCCTCCACCAGGTGGAGACACATCCGAGGGGAAGCTAAAAGCTAGCAGTGGGGAAATTTGAAACTGACCTAATATGAAGCACCTTTTTTTTCCCCCATAGCTAATTACCATATATCCCTTTTATGTTACCTTACCCCTTGTCGCCAGATTTCCAACAGTTTCCGCCTGTCCTTTCATTCTAACACCGACTCCCATCTGTGAAACCCCCCCCCCCCTCCCTCCCCCGGGCCCATTTTTTCCCCACACTAAAAAAAAGCCGGCCGAAAATAATAATAATGTAAAAGCCCAGAAACATTCTAATTGAAATTTGATTTGACACGTTAATAAATGCGTCTTAGCGCGTGCTATCAGACACCACTATCTTGATATCACTGCACGGAAGCAGTAATTTTTAGCGCTTACAAAAGCTTATTAGGCTTTGTTTACTAATCCCCAGTAATCCAGCCGCTGTGGATTGAAACGCGGACATGAGACAGGATTATGTGGATTACAATCCACTTAATACTGTGAAAAGCTTCCTCAACAGTTTTATTACAAAGTAAAGTGCCTTGCATGATATACTGTATAATGTGTGTAAATCGTTAAGAGGAAACGACAGAAAAAAACAGATAAGCAGTTTTCTTTAAAAAAAAAAAAAAACACAGGTATTTCCCGCTTGCGTAAACAAATTCTTACCCAAATTCTATTTATTTGGACCAAAGAATTTAATACTATTGGTTTAGTTGAGTGGTTTGTAAGCATCTTTGGCGCTCCCGTGCTGTGCCATTCGGGACAACTATGCTAATAATATGAAGCCGAAATATTAAAGAGATTTGCTGTGGGAATTATTGCGGATATCAATGTAAGGAAAGGGTAGGAGTTTTGGGACGGACACACCCGATCTCTTGTAGGCAGTAGGAATCCTGGACAAACATGTCGCTCGCCACGACGGCGCACGATGTCACAGAATCTGGGTAGAATAATAGACCAGGGACAAAAGGAAAATGTCCCGGCTAAGCAAGCTATCCATCTTGTATAGATGTGCTAGGATAGGACCAGCTTTGGGTTTCAGCACATTGAGGGCACTGCTGGGAAAGAAATCCCTTGGTTGAAAGGTGGGCATTGATTGGGAGAGGTAGTCAGTAAAACTTCGGGCCACGTAGCAGATTGGTGTGAAGAAGTGTTCACGCCGCCGGCTCAAGCTCCGGAAGTTGCAAGCGATACAGGTTGGGTTCTCGTGACAAAACAAGGCCTGTGAACTCAAAGTCGAGTCCCGCCGGGGTGAAATTGTGGTGTTGGATCCGCAGAGGTGCGATATCCCGCATGCTTATCACGTTTCATGTGTGTGTTTGTGTATGTAAGAGTGGAAGGGGTTTGAAGCGGAGGGGTAGGGAAATAGGAAGGGTTGATTGGCGAGTTAAAGAGATATAAATGTAGAGAGAGAGAGAGAGAGAGAGAGAGAGATGAGTAGAGAGAGAGAGAGAGAGAAAGAGATATGAGAGCAGATAGGAGTATTTTACTATATATATATATATATATATATATATATATATATATATATAAATTGAGAATCGAAATCACAATACTCGGGATACTCCCATAAGCCCTCTGTTACCATCTTTAGCAGCAAGCAAAGAGTTTCTATTCCGATGGCACTGTTTGATTGTATTCCGTCTCACCTTTCCCTTGAGTCTTGAGCTTCTGCAAGATTAACTGTTAACACCTAGCAGTGCCATTCTCCTCAGACCGTAATGATCTATTTCGTGTTCACTCTCTACTAAAGGGCCCTCGCAGTATCTAACTTTTCATAAATCAGTTCACCTCCAAGTGGTGCAGGAACCGGTCAGTCTATCTGCCTGTTTGTTTTCCAACACACCGGCATAACCTAGAGAAGATCTACAAAGGACTGTAACTACCAGGGACGTTTGAAGAGATACTTGCCGCTCTAGAGCATGCATGTGTCCACCTTTCTCAGCCATCTGTGTGTCTTTTGCAATTACGACGTGTGTGTACAGCTGATTCTTAAGCCAGCTGAAGGCAGCAGAGGCTGCCTCCACCCCTATTCGAAAACAAGACACTCATTCGCTTTTGCTATGAACCCCCATACACATTATCTGCCTCTCAACACAGATAATTCTGTATAGATAATCACATTACCTATTGTTGAACTTTCTTATGGAGATAGTTAGATTAAATATATGGAATGAGGGATATATATATATATATATATATATATATATATATATATATATATATATATATATATATATATATATATATAAATATATATATGTATATGAATTTAAAGCAAATATACCGTAGATTGCGTCATTTCATGCAAACAGGCCCGAATATGATGACTGCCATCATCTCGCTTATTCTTGATTATCCACTACACTCTGTCGTGTTTACGAAATGCAGCTAATCCAGTGTATCATTTCCGGTAGAGAATATGCAAAGTGTTGTCTGCCCATGTTGTCGCTAGCCCCTAAAGCACCGAGCAACACCTAAAATGGTAAAGTTGCTTGAATCCCTTGGGCATCAAGCCATGCTTGAAACGTGACTGACCTCACTGTCTTGACATCCAGCTATTCTTTGTATGCTCACTTTTTTGTACATTTGGTCCGAACATGCTAAAGAAATCTGGCCTTTCCCATTGACCACTCTTACGGTATTTTTAGCTGTGCCTATGCTCATCTTTCTTTCTTTTCCCACCTTTGGTGACGATGGAACTACGCCATTGCTGGTCCCAAGGCCGGGTGAGAAAGGAGAATCTTGCGGAGAAAGGCCAAAGACAGTGGACTTGCCGCGATATTCATAGAACTGAGTGATTTTTTCAAGAGCCCTGTGTGACTTATCACGGCAAAACAGAAAAATGAGGATGGTGTCCAAAGAGGACAACGTTCTAGTTCTTCTGGTCGTCCCGACCATAAACATTTGACACTGGCGAAAACTTTCTCAGATGTTATATTTCCACAATATTCTTAATCTCCCTTGTCCTTTACTCCTCTCTATTATATTATGGTAGATATCTTTTATTTAATGGCGTCACGAGGTATTTTCTAAATAAACAAAGTTGTATTTGCTGTCTTTATATGTAATTTAGCTTTGGTTTTATGTTGACGCTTTCTTTTGAGACCACTTTCTAAATTTTTACTTCTTTGATCACCCGCACAGTTTTCCATATACATCTTTGGTTACTAATTTCCGTTTCTGGATGGTTGTGAGCGACCGGTACCGGTAGCATAGGATGAAGAATATTTAGTGTGAGTTGTTTATGCGGGTCGGCACTGTCTTGATTTGCAGAACAGGAGCAATCGTTGCAATACTTCGAGGCCTGTGGTTACCTATATGTTTATTTTTCTCGCTGTTTCTGTAGACTCATGGGTTCCCAGCATTTATCATTTCTGCAAACTGAATACACCAGGAGGCGATCGAAGCACTTGGGGTCATTTCCGATGTGTGATGAAGGTGATCTTTACATAAACATTGAATAAATCAACCCAATGGTATAAGAAGCGGTTTGCAAACATGCTAACAACACTTAATGGGTCGACAGGACCAAGCTCATACAGATCAGACCCTAACTACACTTTCCCGCGGACATCATAGAAACAGATCCAGCTTAAGAATGGAGGCGGAGGCGGTCACTGCAGCTTTCCGCTGGCTAGAGAACACGACAAACACACAAATCGTGATTGTAACTGATTCAGAAAGCATGCTGAGGAAGATCAGAACAGGTATGCTTCGTGCAGAGTGGCATGCTTCGCTGCGGAGGGCACGAGTGAGGAGTATTGTCTGGAATTTTTCACCGGGTCACGCCCGTGTGTTGGGAAATGAACAGACGGACAGACTGGCTGGCTCTGCACAACTTGGTGGAATACTGCTACATGATAGGGCAGACGTGGTTAGTGCCTTGTGGGAGAGCGTGTACAATTCGGAGGAGCAGATGGATCACCACAGTCTGGTGAGATTGATGCAGTTGGGGGTGACGACAGGTTCTGGCAGAAGCTCGAGGCTCAGAGGAAAGGCAAGACGGACGTTTAATCAGAAAGCTACTGGCACCATTAGTATCGGAACTCTTCGCTGGCTGCTGAAGATGGAAACGGAGCGCTTATGGTAATGCCCCGAGTGCTATGATGTCGGTTTTTGAATCAAATCAAATCAAATCTTAGAAACAGGTACGAAATCTGGAGCTTCATCAGGGTAAACGTGATTAACGTAGCCTCCGACTTGCGCCCGCGAGAGAGAAAACCAACCGTCTACACAGTCTACACAAACAGTTTACACAGTCTACACAAACAGTTTACACAAACAGTCTACACAGTCTACACAAACAGTTTACACAGTCTACACAAACAGTTTACACAAACAGTCTACACAGTCTACACAAACAGTTTACACAGTCTACACAAACAGTTTACACAAACAGTCTACACAGTCTACACAAACAGTTTACACAAACAGTCTACACAGTTTACACAAACAGTCTACACCAACAGTCTACACAGCCTACACAAACAATCAGCCAGGTCTGTAAAATGGACGTGCTGGCAAAACTTGTTTTGCAACCAGGCGAACGCCCAGCAGTGGACGAACAACCAGGAAGCTACACCGGAGTTTACAGCCTGTGAACACAAAGAATGATAATAACTATTAGAAGCCAGAGAGCACATAAGAAAACATTCAGATCGATTTACAACTGTTGCTTTTTTTTTTCGTTGTACTTTAAAAACGCCTGAAATTTTTTTTCCTTTTTCTGAAGAGTTTAACATCGCCCTCGGGATCCAGAAAAGGAAAAGATTCTCCACCTCCTGAAGTGGCCTCTCGTTCCCGATATGATGTAAGTAACCAGTACATGTTAGTTTTGTCTGAACACGTCTGCGTTATGATTGTTAAATGGTGTGGTTGGTTGGTTGTCAAGAAAACAAAAATGACAAGCTTAGTCCTTTTTTAACCGCCTGACGGCCTGTTTTTATCAAGGACGGGTTATTTGCTGTCTGAGTTTGAGTTTTTTTCTCATGTGGCGATGGTTTTCGCCTGAGTTTTAATTCCTTGCTGTGTGGTTTCAGTAGGGAGTGGATGTTTTTACTAGTCCTGAAAAGGACTAGTAGAATATGCCTGGGGCGGCCTCGATCGGGTATGGGTGGGAGTGAGACTGGTTGTTGTTCAGTCATGTCTTGCTGGTCTATATGGTTAGCTGTGCTTCCTCGCGGCAGTGAGCTGGTTTGTTGTGTTTTTGTGTGTTCATATTTCAGATACTGGACGTAAAAAAATCTGGCTTTTTTAGCTGTATTGTTTTTCAAATGTCAGTAGGTTCTGAGAGGCAAGGAACCAACAGTCTTCAAACAAAAGGCCAGATTTGAAAAACGGATGTCTGCTGAAATCGAATGTGTTTGATCGAAAGCTCAGCTCCCCGTGTGGGTTCTGGGGTCCCATCGTGGGGAAAACAAGAATAGACCCACTGCCTACCCAAAAGCACGTCGTAAGAGTCGACTAATTGGGAGCTTCCTTCAAAGTTGGAGTGCATCAGCCTGAGAGGCAAGAAACCAATAGTGTGCATACAAATGAGTCAGATCTGTAAAACGGATGCACACGCAACACTCAGATTCTGGAACAAGACTGCAGCCCAGAAGTGGATGAACAATCAGAACTTTCCGCTATAGTTTACAGCTGGTGAGCGCAAAGAATATGAAGAAGAAGAAAGCACAGCTGCTGCAACCTAGCTGTAAACTATAACACAGTGTGCAAATCTCTCTCTTATGGGTGAATGAAGAAGGAGAAGGAAGGGAAAGAAGAGGAAGAAGATGAAGATCCTCAAATCTAAACCATCGCTACACACTTCATGCATTGTGCTGAAGTCATCATTCCTTGGCAGTGGGCATTGCTCATTTCCTATCCCAACATTGGACTGCATAGTTGGTTAGTTAGTCCCAACATTGGACTGCATAGTTAGTTAGTTAGTTAGTTAGTCCCAACATTGGACTGCATAGTTAGTTAGTTAGTTAGTCCCAAAATTGGACTGCATAGTTAGTTAGTTAGTCCCAACATTGGACTGCATAGTTAGTTAGTTAGTTAGTTAGTCCCAAAATTGGACTGCATAGTTAGTTAGTTAGTTAGTCCCAACATTGGACTGCATAGTTAGTTAGTTAGTTAGTTAGTCCCAAAATTGGACTGCATAGTTAGTTAGTTAGTCCCAACATTGGACTGCATAGTTAGTTAGTTAGTCCCAACATTGGACTGCATAGTTAGTTAGTTAGTCCCAACATTGGACTACATAGTTAGTTAGTTAGTCCCAACATTGGACTGCATAGTTAGTTAGTTAGTCCCAACATTGGACTGCATAGTTAGTTAGTTAGTCCCAACATTGGACTGCATAGTTAGTTAGTTAGTCCCAACATTGGACTGCATAGTTAGTTAGTTAGTCCCAACATTGGACTGCATAGTTAGTTAGTCCCAACATTGGACTGCATAGTTAGTTAGTTAGTCCCAACATTGGACTGCATAGTTAGTTAGTTAGTCCCAACATTGGACTGCATAGTTAGTTAGTTAGTTAGTCGACAGATTATCATCATCGCACATCAAGCCGTTCAGTCCATAGGTGCTCAGATGCCCTCTCCAGTATCTTCCTCAGCGTGTCGTGGCCTATGACATCAGTTCTATGTTGTTTTACTATTCTTCTTTGGGCGTCTGTGTAGCGCTTTTGTCTGGCGTCACCCCTTTTGGTGTTATGTTCGTGTAGTCTCTTAGTGGTTTGTAGGGGTGCCCTAACATAACCGTGTTATACAGTTAAACACCGTCTCTTGGATTTGCTGCTATTTGATTCTCATTTCTGGGTGTTAACTCTAATGACGGCAATCCCGGAGGGAAACAACGATAGCCACCACAGTGACGACAACCACCACAGTTGACAACGAAAACCACCTCAGCAATGACAACCACCACAGCAACAACAACCACCACAGCAATGACAACCACCACGGCAACGACAACCAACACGCAATGACAACCACCACAGTAATGACAACCACCACAGTAACGACAACGACCACAGTAACGACCACCACCACAGCATCGACCACCACCACAGCAACGACAACCACCTCAGTAACGACAACCACCACAGCAATGACAACCACCACAGCAACGACAACCACCACGGCAATGACAACCAGCATGGCAATGACAACCACCACGGCAACGACAACCACCACGGCAACAACAACCACCACAGTAACGACAACCACCACAGTAACGACAACGGCCACAGTAACGACAACGACCACAGTAACGACCACCACTACAGCAACAACCACCACCACAGCAATGACAACCACCACAGCAACGACCACCACCACAGCAACGACCACCACCACAGCAACGACCACCACCTCAGCAACGACCACCACCACAGCAATGACAACCACCACGGCAACAGCAACCACCACAGTAACGACAACCACCACAGTAACGACAACGGCCACAGTAACGACAACCACCTCAGCAACGACCACCACCTCAGCAACGACCACCACCTCAGCAACGACCACCACCTCAGCAACGACCACCACCACAGCAACGACCACCACCACAGCAATGACAACCACCACAGCAACGACCACCACCACAGCAACGACCACCACAGCAACGACCACCACCTCAGCAACGACCACCACAGCAATGACCACCACCTCAGCAACGACCACCACCTCAGCAACGACCACCACAGCAACGACCACCACAGCAATGACCACCACAGCAACGACCACCACCTCAGCAACGACCACCACCTCAGCAACGACCACCACAGCAACGACCACCACAGCAACGACCACCACCTCAGCAACGACCACCACAGCAATGACAACCACCACAGCAACGACCACCACAGCAACGACCACCACCTCAGCAACGACCACCACAGCAATGACAACCACCACAGCAACGACCACCACCACAGCAACGACCACCACCTCAGCAACGACCACCACAGCAATGACAACCACCACAGCAACGACCACCACAGCAACGACCACCAATTCAGCAACGACCACCACAGCAATGACAACCACCACAGCAACGACCACCACCTCAGCAACGACCACCACCTCAGCAACGACCACCACCACAGCTCCCCAAAAACCACCACCACCACAACAGCACCACCACCACCACAGCAACGACCACCACCTCAGCAACGAAAACCACCTCAGCAACGACCACCACCACAGCAACGACCACCAAAACAACAACGACCACCACCTCAGCAAAAACCACCACACCACAGCACAACCACCACCACCTCAGCAACGACCACCACCTCAGCAACGACCACCACCTCAGCAACGACCACACCTCAGCAACGACCACCACAGCAATGACAACCCCACAGCAACGACCACCACCACAGCAACGACCACCACCAAAGCAACGACCACCACAACAAAACAACCACCACAACAACAACCACCACAGCAACGACCACCACCCTCAGCAACAACCACCACAGCAACAACAACCACCACAGCAACGACCAACAACCTCAGCAAACGACCACCAACTCACAAAACAACCACCACCACAGCAACGACCACCACCCCACCAACAAACCACCACAAAAAACCCCCACCACCCACAGCAAAAAACCACCACCACAGCAAAACCCACCACCACAGCAACACCCACCACCACAGCAACGACCCCACCACAACAGCAAACGACCACAAAAACACCAAAAAACCACCACAGCAACGACCACACACAGCAAACGACCACCACCCAAGCAACACCGACCACCACAGCAAACGACCACCACCTCAGCAACGACCACCACAGCAACGACCCCACCTCAAAGCAACGACAACCACCACAGCAACGACCACAACAAACAACGACCACCACAGCAACGACAACCACCAACAGCAACGACCACCAAAGCAACGACCAACCACAGCAACCCAACCACACACAGCAAAAAACCACCACAGCAACGACCACAAACAGCAACGACCACCACAGCAACAAAAACCAAACCAACACAAACAGCAACGACCACCACAGCCCGACCACCACAACAGCAACGACCACCACAAACAAACGACCACCACAGCAACGACCACCACAGCCCCGACCACCCCAGCAACGACCCCACAACAACGACCACCACCCAGCAACGAAAACACCACAGCAACGACCACCACCTCAAAAAACGACCACCACAGCAACAACCACCACCTCAGCAACGACAACCACAGCAATGACAACCACCACAGCAAACGACCACCCACCAAAGCAAACGACCACCACCTCAGCAAAAAAACCAAAACCACAGCAACGACCACCACACAAAACGACCACCACCTCAGCAACGACCACCACCACAGCAACGACCCCCACCACAGCAAAACGACCACCACAGCAACGACCACCACAAACAGCAACGACCACCACAGCAACGACCACACACCACAACAACGACCACCACCACAGCAACGACCACCACCACAGCAACGACCACCACCACAGCAACGACAACCACCACAGCAACGACAACCACCACAGCAACGACCACCACAGCAACAAACCACCAACCACAGCAACACCACCACCACAGCAACGACCACCACCACAACAAAACAACCACCACAGCAACGACCACCACCACAGCAACGACCACCACCACAGCAACGACCACCACCACAGCAAAACCACCACAGCAACGACCACCAAAACAGCAAACAACCACCACCACAGCAACAACCACCACAGCAACGACCACCAAAAAAACGACCACCTCAACACAACGACCACCACCACAGCAACGACAACACCACACAACAACGA